CGGAGAGCAATAGGGCACAGCAGTGCAGGGCGGGGAGGGAACCTGACTGCTGGCCCCTCTAGATTCGCCAACCCAGGAGCGGGAGGAGCTGTTTATCCAGAAGCTACGCCAGTGCTGCGTCCTCTTCGACTTTGTGTCAGACCCGCTCAGCGACCTCAAGTTCAAGGAGGTGAAGCGGGCAGGACTCAACGAAATGGTGGAGTACATCACCCATAGCCGCGACGTCGTCACCGAGGCCATTTACCCAGAGGCTGTCACCATGGTGGGCGCAGGAACGGGAACGTGGGCAGGGTGGGCGCCCTGGAGAAACCCAGACAGAGCTCTCACCTGGGCTCCACCCCTCAGTTTTCAGTGAACCTCTTCCGGACACTGCCACCCTCATCCAATCCCACCGGGGCCGAGTTTGACCCAGAGGAAGACGAGCCCACCCTGGAAGCCGCCTGGCCACATCTCCAGGTACCAGGGCCAGGGGCACTCAGACCGTCGTCAGGGTTCTCCCGGTCCTTGGGGAATCCCCCCTGAAGGAATGCTCCTTTCCCTCCACAGCTGGTGTACGAGTTTTTCTTACGTTTCCTTGAGTCTCCTGACTTCCAGCCAAACATAGCCAAGAAGTACATTGACCAGAAGTTTGTCCTTGCTGTGAGTCCCTGAGTTCCCGTCCTTCCCCTCCTTCCAGTGCATGGACTCTGGCCCCACATCCCTTACTCCAGTCCCAGTTCTTTCTCCCTCTAAGAATATCTTGGGTTTCAGCTGTGTCTGTACAGGACACTAAGAGGGTTAAACAGACCTACTCTGCCTGCAAGAAGCTTCCAGCATAATGGAAAGAAACAGAAGCAGCACAAAGTTGCCCACCACGTTCAGTATGCCGCATGCATACTCAGCTGTCCCCTTGGGAAGAGCAGAGAAATCCAGTTACTTTCCAGGGCCTTGTCCCAGGGCCCTCTCCAGAGAACCTCTGAGCTTCTCCCAGCCAGGACCCCATGTCACCCAGCCCTGCCTTCCTCAGCTCCGGCCTCACTTGCCACCTTTCTTCCTGCCCGCTCCCAGCTCCTCGACCTGTTTGACAGTGAGGATCCTCGGGAGCGGGACTTCCTCAAGACCATCTTGCATCGAATCTATGGCAAGTTTTTGGGGCTCCGGGCTTATATCCGTAGGCAGATCAACCACATCTTCTACAGGTGAGGCCAGGAGCCAGGCTCAGCAGCAAAGCAAGCACCGCTGAGGTGGGGGGAGAAGGGAGGTAGGGGGGACTTCAGAGGGGTCTCAGGTTGTCAGGAGACCGTTTTTCTTCCCTCAGGTTTATCTATGAGACGGAGCATCACAACGGGATTGCCGAGCTCCTGGAGATCCTGGGCAGGTGAGGGGGGGGTGCGGTCACACATGCCTGAAAGAAGTTGGGAGGTTGGTTCACTGAGCTTGGACCAGGCCCTTCGGCCCTAACGAGCCTCCCTGAACTCCTAGCATCATCAACGGCTTTGCCTTGCCCCTTAAGGAAGAGCACAAGATGTTCCTTATCCGTGTCCTGCTTCCCCTTCACAAGGTCAAGTCCCTGAGTGTCTACCACCCTCAGGTAAGCCGCCTTCCTCTTGGTGACCCCTGCTTGGGCCTGGCAGCAGAGAGGACAGGGAGGGGAGATGTTCCGGCCGGTGGGGAGGCAGAGGGAGTGGGTGGGATGATTCCCGTCTACGCCGCCTCTCCCGTGGGGGTCTTGCTCCTGCTCTGATCTCCGTGAGACCTGGGCCTGCACCTCACCTCCCTTCTGCCTCAACCTTTGCAGCTGGCATACTGTGTGGTGCAGTTCCTGGAGAAGGAGAGCAGCCTCACTGAGCCGGTAATTCCCTCTCTAAGCCCCAGCGCCGCCTGTCTGTCAGCAGCACGTCTATCTCTGTGGGGCAGTGCCGTAGCAGGTGCTCAGGAGGGATGGAGCCCAACAGGTGACATGGCTTCCTCTCTGAAGGAGAAAACCCATGAACACCTAGGAAGCAGATCCAAGTCAGAGAAACCTGAGCCGTTAGCTGAGGCCACCCAAGCTACGCCCACTGCGGGGGGGAGGCGGGAGCCAGGAAGACTTCCTGGAGAACCAGGCAGGTGTTGAGTGAGAATTTTATCCTCCTGGTCTCACAGGTGATTGTGGGGCTTCTCAAGTTCTGGCCGAAGACCCACAGCCCCAAGGAGGTGATGTTCCTGAACGAGCTGGAGGAGATCCTGGATGTCATTGAACCTTCAGAGTTCAGCAAAGTCATGGACCCACTCTTCCGCCAGCTTGCCAAGTGTGTCTCCAGCCCCCATTTCCAGGTGAGATCCAGCCCACCTCCCAGGAACCAAGGGGGTCTTGAGCAAAGCAAGCTGTGTCCTCAAGGAGTCCCGCCTGTCCCCACCAGGTGGCAGAGCGAGCTCTCTATTACTGGAACAACGAGTATATCATGAGCCTGATCAGTGACAACGCTGCCCGGGTCCTCCCCATCATGTTCCCTGCGCTCTACCGGAACTCCAAGAGCCACTGGAACAAGTAGGCGCTGCGGGGGGCTGTGGTTTCGGAGCCTGTGAGGGTGTGGAGACCTACAGTCTCATCTGGTCACTGCACGTAGGGGTGGTGCGCACTGTAGGCTGAGAGGATCTTGAGGAATGGGGAGAAAAGATACCTCCGTGAGAGATCTCTGAGACCAAACAGGCAGAGCAGTGGCCTGTAGTACACCTCTTCTTGCAGTCAGACATTTTGCCGCTTTGGTCACTTAATTCCACGCTGTGAGAAGTTGATGTGGCCTTAGGATGTGTTGAATCCCGCTGTTGTAAAGGCTTTCCTGCTAAGAGCAAGCATGCTGTGGGGCAGATGCACATCATGCTGCTGGAGGCCATTCGTGTGGGCCAGGCAAGTGGGGAGGAGGAGGGTCTTGGAGCATGGGTGGCAGGAAGAATGGACAGGCAGACCAGTATTTGTGAAAACCCTGCAATGCCGATCTCAGGTCACATGATTTGACCGGAGAGATGAGCTTACACTGAAGCGGTTTGTGAAATGGGAGTAGTAAATGAGAAAGCTCTTAGCCAACACCTAGTAGAGAGCAGGTTGGGCCTGGCACTAGGGCAGGCTGTGGCCTCTTACACCTCGTCTTTCTTGGGGTGGCAGGACAATCCATGGACTGATCTACAACGCCCTGAAGCTGTTTATGGAGATGAATCAGAAGCTGTTTGATGACTGCACACAACAGTACAAGGCGGAGAAGCAGAAGTGAGTGTCTCCTCTCAGAGCCTCCGGTTGTCCACCGCCAGCCCCCTTTGCTTCTCTCTCAAACTCAACCCCCATCCTGTCTGCTCCCTCAGGGGCCGGTTCCGAATGAAGGAAAGAGAAGAGATGTGGCAAAAGATCGAGGAGCTGGCCCGACTTAATCCCCAGGTGAGGTTTTCCTGCCACCATCTTGAACTGAGGGGTCCCTGTTAGGCTGGAGGAGGATCTGATTGAGGAGGAATAGCGGCAAACAGGTTCACAGAGTCTGAAGGGGCTCCCCCACTTGTCCGTGCCTCCGTTCCTCAGTATCCCATGTTCCGAGCTCCACCACCGCTGCCCCCTGTGTACTCGATGGAGACGGAGACCCCCACGGCAGAGGACATCCAGCTTCTGAAGAGGACTATGGAGACGGAGGCCGTGCAGGTGGCAGGGCACCGGGGGAGGCGGAGCAGCAATAGACAGCTCTGCTGGGGGAGGAGGCAGGAGCAGCAGAGCGCAGCAATGAGGGGAAGCCACAGAATACACTGGGAATTGGTCACCATTCCCCTTCTCCCTGTCCACTCACAGATGCTCAAGGATATCAAGAAAGAAAAAGTGCTGCTTCGGAGGAAGTCAGAGCTGCCCCAGGACGTGTACACCATGAAGGCGCTAGAGGCTCACAAGCGGGCGGAAGAGTTCTTAACTGCCAGCCAGGAGGCTCTCTGACGCCCCGTTTCCTCCACGGGGCCACAGCCCACTCAGCCCTGGGACTGCCCTAGCCCTCCACCCTTTGCTCCCCACTGGCTGACATGGGGCAAGGCAGTGCCTCTTTAGCGATTCTAGGGAGGGTGATGCAGCACTTGAAGCAGGGATGCCCAGAGTGGTCCCTCTTCTCCCCAAAATGTGTTGGTGCCTCCTGGTGGCCAGTACAGACAGGCTGAGCTCTAAGATGCTTAGTGTTCGGACAACGGGGACGCCTGTACCCTCCTGCTCCTAACCCCACAGCTACCCGAGGCTGCTCTGAGAAATACACAAAGGAACACATAGGCTCCTCTCCTCTTCCCTTCATCTTCATTTGAACGCCAGGGGTCTCCTCCTCTCCCTCCCCGGCAGAGGCACACGGGGAGCAGCAGCAGATTATTCTCACCAAAGTTATGCCAAGCCCCACTGGCCCCTTAAGTCAATAGCTGGAGGGGCGCCAACCCCCAGCAGCACAAAGAGGCCCCCAGCCCCAGCAGTGTGCAGGCTGAGGGGGCCGTATTATTTCCTCTTACCCCTTGCCCGACCAAGACCACGTGGGAGGTCAAAAAGAGAACCACATAAGCTATGGACATCAGGTAATGAATAAAGGGCCCAGATGGATCAAGAGAAAGGGATGAACAAACACCCGACCTGTGCCCCCTCCTTGGTGAGCAGCAGCCCTGGGATCACAAACATGGAAGGGACCACCTGGGGCTGACTGCTTTCCTGTGCTGGTTCCCAAAGCCAAGAGGAAGGAGACAGGGAGCAGTGTCTAAGCATGGCTCCCTCCAACATCTATTTATTTTCCTTGTTTGTGCTAATGCTGGGCAGGCCCTTGCTTGTCCCTTTCAGGCACCATGGAGAGGCAAGAGGCTTAGGAGAGCCAGACCCGGTCCCGGGGCACAGGCAGTGCAGCTCTGGGCTGTGTACACAGGGTGCTTTATTCTCCAGAGTGATACATGCTATGGTGGGTTGGGCTTGGGCCGATGTCCCCATATGTACAGACTGAATAAAGTGGGTCTCTGAGAAGTTTGATTTGCCTTGATGTGGAAGGGAGATGGGCGTGACAACCAGGGATGTGTTCAGTCCTGTGCTGGTTCCAGTGGAATGCAGGGAGCTAAGGCAGCTCTCAAGGTGGTCACTTCCAGGCAGGGGATGCCTGCCGGGCTTGGAGAGCCTTCTGTACCACGTCTTCCCACTGGGCATCTGATATCTCCCGCGCCCAGGCAGGAACCCCTGGTGCCGGCAAGCTTACTCCAGCCATGGTCCTTTTCACCAGCTCTACATGTTCTGAAATCACAGGCAGAGACCAATTAGAGGATAGAAAAGATGGGAGCTGCTTCCCTGCCCGTTCCTTGAATTAACCCAGAACCATTGGGTTAGTAAAGTCACCAAATCTGTCTGTTATTTCTCGGCAATCCTGCCCATTCCCCCAAGTCTAGCAGAATAGCATTTCACCTGGATTCTTTAAAAAAAAAATTTTTATTGATTTCAGAGAGGAAGGGAGAGATAGAAACATCAATGATGAGAGAGAATCAGTGATCGGCTGCCTCCTGCATGCCCCCTACTGGGGCTTGAGCCCACACCTGAGCATATGCCCTTGATCAAAATTGAACCTGGGACCCTTCAGTCCGCAGGCTGATGCTCTATCCACTGAGCCAAACCAGCTAGGGCTCACCTGGATTCTGACGTCTGCAAAATATTAGATTACAAACTGTCATTTTTAGGAACAGGGTATTGCTCTGTGACCTCTCTATTGGCTCTGGCCAGTTCCTTTCCCCCATAATGAAAAGAATCTCTTACCTGGGTCCATGGGAATAGAGCTGTGGCTGCTCAAGGCTGTAGCTCCCTCATCTTCATCCTCGCTCTCTAATGGTGGGTCTGGCAAATGAAGCCCCAGGGCCTGAACAGCCAGAGAAGACAGTTCAGGGCCAGCCCTTCAGGGATCCCACCGTCACCTCCTCGGGAACAAGGCCTCCTCCAGCATACCTGGATCCGATCCTGGATGTCCGCCACTACGTCCTCTCCATCCCCCACCGGCGCCAGCTCCACCTCCTCGGGCTCAGGGTCTTGGTTCAGGGGCTGGTAGGAGTAGCCAGCTGGGCCTGCCCCGGGCTCCTCCTGCTCTTCCTCAGGCTCCTCACTGCTCCAATCCCCAGTGCCTTCCGTGGGGCCCTGGTGCGGCCCTAGTTCCTCAGTCTGATTGGGGAAGATACGCTCCGGGCCCATGATGTCTGCCCCTAGAACTACTGCTGCCATCCGGGCACGGGCTGCAAGAACAGGGGGGCACGAGAGGGACCTGATTAAATGAGCTGTGCATTCCGCCTCCCATCCAGCTCCTGTGGTCTCCTGTGTCCACAAAACATCTGAACGCCCAACCTTCTGCGCCCCAACCCACCTTGGCATCTCCTGGGCCCTTCGCCTTTTAAGTCGGGCTCTTATCTCGAGCCGAGGCCCACCCGCCTTGCTCGGCCATTTCTTAAATATTTAACAGCAGAACCAGAGGCTAAGCCATCTCTCAAAACACACCCCTTCCAGAACCCCGCCTTCCCGCCCCCTCCTGACTTGGGAACTTCGGAGGGGCAAACAAGCTCCCAAAGACAAGGCGGACCCGTTCCCTTCTCCCCTCTCAACGGGGTTCCCCTCTGTACCACCTGACAAACGCCCTTCAGGCCCCAGGGGCTTCCCTCAAATGGTCCCAGCTGCGGCGTTCCCACCCCCTCCCCGCCCCCACCCCACCGACGGTCGGCGCCGGCGTCTGCGCGCGCCTCACCCGCTCAGAGCCCGCGGCCGAACCCTCACCTCCACTTCCGCCGGGGCAGGACGTGCTGGGCGCCTAGTCCTCCAGCCCCGCCCAGTGCTCATGATGGACGCGAAAGGGGACAACGACTCCGCCCCTTGCCCCGCCTCCAGCATCCGGGCCCAAACAAAGAACTACATTACCCAGTGACCCCCACGGTTTTCTGACGCAGCCGCACATGCGTAGAAGCTCCTCGAGCGCCTGTGCGGGGCTTCGCACCTCGCGTCCCTAAGGAAACCGACGGACTACAAGTCCCGGTAGGCTTCCGGAACTCGGCCCCGACTGCACGTGCGCACACAGCTGCCCGCCGGAAGAAGCGAGCCTGGCTGTGTTTATCTCGTTGGGGACCCAGTCGTCGGTTGGCGCTCAACGGGTTCCAGGCTGCCCGCGGCCCCGCCCCGGCCCGGCCTGACAAGGTAGCCCGGGATGGGTTGATGTGACAAGGAAGGTGAAGGTGCTGGGGGCGTCCGTGTCTGGAGCCGGAGCCGTGAGGGGGAGGCCCGAGGGGGCTGAGGTGGGGGCGGGGTGGTGTTGGGGAGGGAACTAAGGGGATGATGGGAAAGGAGCGTGTTCGTGGGGAAGGGTCGCGGGAGAATGGGGGGGAACAGGTGAGAGACTTGGTGGCTGGAGGAGGCGCTGAGGGACCTGGGAGGAAAGAGCGCCACCATATGCAGGGAGGAAGACCTCTGGCTGAAAGGGGACAATGATTCCTAGCGTTTTTCCCTCAGTGGAAGGGGGAAAATGGAGAACTTTTGGGTGGCGCTTGGAGTGGTGGGAAAAGGAAAAAGGAGAAAACTGCAAAGCTCTCAGATTAAAAAGGGAGGGGGGGAGTGATAATTGCAAGAGAGCAGAGAGGGGGGCAGGCACGTGAAGGGAATGGAAGGCGTCGAGAACGCGGCCAGGACGGAGTGTCGGGGGAACTCCGGGAGGACGCAGCCCTGACACCTCGGGGGCCCGTCTTCCATGAGCTCGAGCTGTCCTTTCGGGAGAGAAGCTAGGATTCTCTCTCCGCCTTGGGGTGGCATTGCTCCGCTCTGCTCCTGTGAGCCCCGCGCCTTTATGGACTTGAAGGGCGCAGGAGCTCAGAGGGGAGACCGAGGGCCCCCCTTCTTCAGCCCTTCAGCCCCCCGTCTGGCCCCACGAGCCCCGTCCCAGGTGTTTGGGATTGAGGACGGGAGCCATGGAGTGAGACCAGTTCCTGCTGGGGCTCCGTCAGGGTGGGCCTGGTGGCTGCTTAAAGCCGGGGCGGGGCCGAGGCGGGGCGGTAGGGGACGTGCCAGCCCGCTGAAAGCCAGGCCTTTTTCTTCTCGAGGGGCCTCCCTTGAGCCCTCTCTGTGCCCGAAGCTCAGCCTTGAACAGGGAGAGGATGATCCATCCGCCCAGACCCAGCAGGTGCCTGCCCGCAAAGGCAGTCCCGGCCGCAGGAGGTGCCCGGCGCGGGCTGCAGATGCACCCGTTATCGCTAGCTTGGCAGGTTGTCTTAGAGATCAGCCCTCTACCTCGGTCTTCTTCATGTGCTGCCCGAGGGCATTTGGCTTCCCTTCTCCTTTCCCGTGCACACGCCCACCGTCGCCCCCCTTCCCGGGACCCTCCGGGGAGGACAGCTGCTGGGAACAGCTTGTCTGTGCCCGGGTAGCAGGGCTGGGGAGGTGGCAGGAGGAGGAACCCCTTCCTCCCCGCCCCCACTCCCACAATCTACAGCGGACACATACCTTTCTGATTAAGTTCCTAGCTTTGGCAGCAGACCAGGCCCAGCTGTTAAAGGAACGCCTCAGGCCTGTGAGGGGCCCTGGGTGACCCCATTGACAACATCTCAGTTTGACCAGAGCTTCCGACGAGGGGCGAACCATCCATGGTACTATGGAGGTCCCTGTCCTGGACCCCGCCCCATCTTGGATAGGGGAGCTCATCCACTCTAAAAGCCTAAAAGCCTTTCTGCTTGGAAGTACCCATGCCAGCTTTCAATGCACTGTCTGGGGCTGGCTGAGCTATTAATAGCTCTGAGTATTTTGAGATCCCTCTCCCCATCTTAAAGAGCACAGAGATTCTTAGAGAGGCGGCAGTAAGCAGAGCAGAGCCGGAGGTACCAGAGAGCCCATCAGCCTGGGAAGGGGGCTTGGAGCCTGTGCCAGGCCACGGAGCGGGTGGAGCCTCCGTGAGTAGGGGGTGATCATGCTGAGCCCTGGATCAGCAGGTTCTGAGCTGGCGGTCAGGTTGGAGTGGCCCCACCCTTTGCTTTTGGAGAACACAGGGCAGGGCTAGCTCCTTGACCTCAGCAGCTCCTCAGGGGCAGGGCCAGCCACCTGAGCTGTGGAGGGGTGGTGTGGGTCGAACACCTGGGTGACACTTGGAGGCCAGGGCTGGTCCTGGGCAGAGTCCTGGTGAGCCAGGCAAAGGCCTTGTGGCCCTAATTTGTGTGCAGGTAGCAGAGGCAGCAGGCCGTGCCGGGGGGGCATGTTGCTGTAACCAGTGGCCCAGGGGATGTTACGGTGGACAGTGCACCTGGAGGGCGGGCCCCGCAGGGTGAACCATGCTGCAGTGGCTGTTGGGCACCGGGTATTCTCCTTCGGGGGTTACTGCTCTGGTGAAGACTACGAGACACTGCGTCAGATTGATGTGCACATTTTCAATGCAGGTAAGCTAACCCTGGGGACATCCCTGGGTGCCCACATTAGGGAGGGAAACAGGTGGTTGAATGAGTTTTGGTGGTGGTTGCTGTGGCCCAAGGGGGTGAAGGAATGAAGATCTGGTTTGGGAAAAGGTGGACAGCCTGGAAGGAGGTTTCCAGGGCTGAGCTGAGCTATGCCCACAGTGTCCTTGCGCTGGACAAAGCTGCCCCCGGTGAGACCCACCATCCGAGGGCAGCCTCCTGTGGTACCATACATGCGGTATGGACACTCAACCGTCCTCATCGATGACACGGTCTTCCTTTGGGGCGGGCGGAATGACACGGAAGGGGCCTGCAATGTGCTCTACGCCTTTGACGTCAGTGAGTATGGGGTTCTGTTCTTCCAAATGGTACCTCACGGGCTGGGGAGATGTCGGCTGGGCTGGGAGTAGGGCAACTCAGGAGGGTCAGAGTTGCTTAACTGGCCATCCTCTCATCTCCTTCAGATACTCACAAGTGGTCCACACCCCGCGTGTTAGGAACAATTCCTGGGGCTCGGGACGGACATTCGGCTTGTGTCTTGGGCAAGACCATGTACATTTTCGGGGGCTACGAGCAACTGGTAGGTCTGGAAAGCAAGTAGAGGTTTAGGGTGGGAATGCTGGAATGGGAGGCTTTGGCTTGTTTTGCAGGGCTTGTTGTTGTTGTTGTGCCCCAACCAGGGCTGGGGGTCAAGCCTGCAACTGAGGTATGTGCCCTTGACCAGAATTGAACCTGGAACCCTTTAGTCCAAAGGCCGGAGCTCTATCCACTGAGCCAAATCAGCTGGGGCTGTTTTGCAGGTTTTTGAGGGGAGGGATGGAGGTCAGAGACTACTGACCCAATCTTATATTCCTTCCTTCACTTCCTTTCTCTTCCCATTCAGGCGGACTGCTTTTCCAATGACATTCACAAGCTGGATGCCAGCACCATGACATGGACCCTTATCTGTACAAAGGTCTGCCCTTTCTTCTTTCTCCCAGACCCCCACCCTCAGTTGAAGAAACCATAGGAAGTTCAATAGTGAGAGCAGATCCTTTCCCAGCCTTCTTGCTCACCTCATCTCTCTGCTCCTGCCCAGGGCAATCCTGCGCGCTGGAGGGACTTCCACTCAGCCACAATGCTGGGCAGTCGCATGTATGTCTTTGGGGGTCGCGCTGACCGATTTGGGCCGTTCCATTCCAACAATGAGATTTACTGCAACCGCATCCGAGTCTTTGACACCAGGACTGAGACCTGGCTGGACTGTCCAACCACCCCGGTGCTGCCCGAGGGGCGCCGGAGCCACTCAGCCTGTGAGTGTCTGTTACGCCCCTGCAGCGTCCCCCTTCCCACCCATTGTCTGCACACCCTTGACATTCCTCTCTCCTTCCAGTTGGCTACAATGGGGAACTGTACATTTTTGGTGGCTATAATGCAAGGCTGAACCGGCACTTCCATGACCTGTGGAAATTTAACCCTGGTAAAGAACACTGCCTCTAAGGGAGAAACGAGGAGCACTTGAGGGGGGAAGGAAAGAAAGAATCCTGAGTAGGCGAGAGGTTGTGGTTGGAGAGGATGTCTGGCCAGGGCAGGCATTGAATCTCCATGTAAACTTCTCTTTAGTGTCCTTTACCTGGAAAAAGATTGAACCAAAGGGAAAGGGGCCATGTCCACGCCGGCGCCAGTGCTGCTGTATTGTTGGTGACAAAATTGTCCTCTTTGGGGGCACCAGGTTAGTAGGAGAGGGGAGGGCTCGGGGAAGGCCTAAGTCTGTGACTAAACTGGGAGGCATGTGAGCAAGAAGGGTCTCGTGAGCATTCTTTCCTCCTTCCTTTCTCTCTCGATCTCTACAGTCCGTCTCCTGAGGAAGGCCTGGGCGATGAGTTTGACCTAATAGATCATTCTGACTTACACATTTTGGACTTTAGTAAGTACACTTGTTCCCAAAGTGCTCCTGCCATCGGGGTCCCTGTCTCTGGGTGGTGACATCCCGGACGGAATCTTTCCTTGGCTGTGACTCTCTTCCTGTCTCCCATTCTTCCTCTAAAGGCCCTAGTCTGAAGACCCTGTGCAAACTGGCTGTCATTCAGTATAACCTGGACCAGTCCTGTTTGCCCCATGACATCAGGTGCAGTGAGTGGTTGGGAAGGAGGGATTGGTTGAGGGTAAGTGGCAGCACAAGCATGACCTCATATGGAGGAGATAGAATTCTTGTGGAGAATGAGGTGGAAGGAGATACAGACTGTCCACTGGGTAAATTACATGAAAAAAAAAACAATTGTTTTTCAAACAAAGCTCAGGAGCATCACTCCCTGAGATCTGAGCCTATACGGTTGTTTTGTTAACATGATGAAAAAGTGATGAAATCTTAGAACCTAGCTGCAAAGTAAAGACAAGTTTAGGAGCCTCTGAATCACCTTAGTTCTGGCATTAAGGGAGGTTCTTCCTAGCACCTTCCCTTTTAGTTTCACTCTTAGGTCTAAGTCAAGTACCAAAAGTACTTTGTGTATCATTATGCCCTTTTGGGTCATTCTTCGACACGTACTTTTCCTTGTATCAGTTCAGTTTAACTCTTACTTGCTGAGGGTCATGTGATCAGTATTCAGTGACATGGTGTGTGCAAGGCTGACCTGGTGGGTCATAGGTTGGCCTAGGAGCGACATATATGCAGGTACCTGTTGTGGCAGAATGCACGGGAGAACGATCACGGGAGCACTCTGGGGGAGGAAAGTTCAACCCTTATTTCACAGATTGGCTAGTCCGGGGTGATTCTGGGTTCAGATCCTGAGTTGAACTCATGGGGAGGCTCTGGCTGATACAGCTCCTCTGTGGTGGGCCCTGAGGGTCCCTGCAGCTCTGCCCACGTCAGTGAGAGTGGGGAAGTAAGACTACAGCTTTAACCAGATACTGAACTAGGTGGCAAGCCCCACCGTTTTCCTTTTCATACCTAAGTCAAGTAGACTATAGTGAATAGTGGAATTAAGGAGGTTATTGGTAAATCTTTGTAGAATGACAGAGTGGTCAAAAAGAGGGATTTAATTTTAATATGATGGGATGAGTGGGGAAGTCCTGGGGTGGGAGGGTAGGAGAGCCGAATCAGGCTTCTTTCTGAAAGGGATAGTAGTTGAGCGTAAAAAACAATTTTTGGAATATGTAATATATACTTGACAAAAATGTTCAAAATGCCTGGTTGGATCTGAGCAGAGGAAAGATAGGTTGGGAAATGTACTGCGATGTATACACCCATGCTTTTCTCCAGGTGTTGGGCAAAAGAATATGTAAACATAAACAGGAAGTCCACCTGAGCTTGCAGGTGGAGCTCTGGGTGGTAATGGATTTGGTGGTGGGCGGGGCCTGATTGTTAATGGAGGAGGGCCGTAAGGAAGAGGTGGCTGTGGGTAGTTAAGGTTTCAGGAAGTTGAAGGCACTGGTGTGTTCTTAGTTTTGTTAGCAATTCTGGGCTTGGGGTGGAGGCTCCTCCTGTCCTTTACACCTGTCACTGTTGGCCTTCCAGGTGGGAGCTGAATGCCATGACCACCAACAGCAATATCAGTCGCCCCATCGTCTCCTCCCACGGGTAGAAGGAAGTTTTTGCCGCCATCCCTCCTGAGCCTGCTGTTGTCTTCACTGCCCCTGCCTGTCTCTCACCCGCCTGCCCCTTTGGACCCTGGTATACCTCCACATGGAGTTGTTGGACTAGAGGTGTTTTTGTGCTGTGAACTCAGTGGGGAGCTGTGGAGGGGGGGGCGAGGTTCCCCCCTCCTTGGGCCGAGGGCCCCTTCCCTTGGTGCTCTGTCCCATCCGCCTTCTTCCAACTGCTCCTGGACTCTGCTCCGTCCCAGGCCCGCGGGGCTCTGAGAAGGGAAGGGAACGGGGAGAATGGAGAGGGAGAGCAAGCAGTGTCGGGTCCTCAGAAGCTCCCCTCCCGCTGTTTCCCCTCCGCCCCCGCTTGAGCCCTGAGCATGATTGGGAGCCGGAGAAGCTGCAGCTGTTGCCATGAAACCTCCTTCGCCCTGACCCGGGGAAGGCGAGGACCAGCAGATAACCTACCCCTTCCTTGAGCTGTTGCTGTCACCCTGTTGCTCACAGCCAGCTCAGATTTTATAAAAATGGATTAAAGACCTCTAAACGAATCGTGTGTGTGTGTGTGTGTGTGTGTGTGTATGAATGGGTGGCAGGCGCTTGCCCGGGGCAGGGGGCGCTC